CGCCGCCCCCTCCTCGCCGTGCCGCCCATAGCAGCACACAGAACACGCCACCGAGCTGGATAGAACGGGGCGGCGCCGCCAGCGCTCACGGAGCAGGACGAGACACATACATTTAATGTGCTGGAAATTATAACTGACAGTTTGTCTTACTTCCTCCCGTCCCCCCTCCCCTCCACTACTCCCGTTGCGTGCGTGTGACTTAGCGCGCGCGGCGCAATCTTGTAAATGGCATCCACTAGGGCCTAAGTGGTCGTATAGAGCTCCCGGGGCGGCGGGGTGAGCGCGCGCCCTACGACCTGACCTGCCCCGCCCCTCGCGCCGCTTTGCTTTGCTTCACCACCACCGCCGCCGTGATGATCGTCGTCGGTCCTCCCCCCCCCCCACCCGCGCGCATTACAAGTCGCAAGACGCATGCGCCGAGGCGTAGTGCGCGAGTGCATTCAGTTGTGTTTACGAGTGGAACGCGATTCCATTCAATCAGGACACCACACAGAAACATGCCGAATGGGAGGTGGTAATTAGCGAGAGGATGGTAGCACCGCCACACGCCGCCGGCGCCCCCCCCCCCCCTCTCGACTCTCAACCCATTATGGGTCTCTGCTCTCTCTTAGACTAGAGCGCCACGCCACGCCGCCCCGGAGATACCATCGGCACGGCACGGGGGAGGTAATTTCATATTTCCCTTCTCTCTCGGTGTCTCTGTCTCTCTCCCTCTCGGGTGGTGGTGGTGTTCGCCAGAGAGAGCAACACCCTCTCGCTATTTTACACCACCGCCGCCGCCTCTGTCCCACCGAGCTAAGAAGGGAATTTGTCTTGTCCTTTGGTGATTTCAACAAGCAGAAATAAGGAAGAGCGAGAAGAATGCGGAAGGGCTCGGCTAGTGGCGTAGCACGGTTCCTTCACTAAAAATTCTAGCGTACACTGATTTTTACGTTTTCCTTGATTTTTTGTGATTTTTGTGATGTTTTGTGATTTTTTTGTTGATTTTTCTGACTTTTTGTTGACTTTTTCTGATCTGTAGGGGATTTTTTCATGATTTTTTAATGATTTTTTCTATGGGTGTACACTGATTTTTTTGAGTAAACGACCCCTCGGCGTAGCCTTAGCGGTGAGCAAGCGGCTCACGTCGGTCCCGGAAGCAAACAAACAAATGCAGAACGCGCGCGGCACACGGCGTCAGTTCTGTTCGGCGCGTCCGAGCGTGAGGTCGCCCACCTGACCCGTTCCCCGATTCGATTCGAAAATCAACGTGGAGCGCCGCCAGCACATTACGTAAATAAATAGGACATTTCCTGCTTGTTTGGGTTTGAAACAAAACGGTTAAAAACACCGATTTTTAGCAGATGATACCTTGAAACACTTTATACTTAACATTAAAATACATTAGTAATATCAAGGTGTCAGCAGCTTTAACTCTCCATAGTGGAAGAGAGGTAAAAGAGAATCAAGCGGAGACCAGGAAAACAATTTCTTTGGCGCTGGCGGGACCGTGTCCGGGTGAGTGTCGCGCCAGCCCCCTCCCCTGCCTAACAATACTGGGGCTCTGGCGGGACCGTGTCCGAGTGAGTGTCGCGCCAGAGGCCCCTCCCCTTACCCTCCAACCCTGCCTAACAATACCTAGGCTCCCGCGGCTTCGCTTCCCCTCCCTCCCCGCCGTCCCCTCTCTCCGCAAGTAAGACCTTAAAAAAATTATGCAAAACCACTAGAAATAAAAACCATATTACGAATATTAAAGCGCAGGTATACTATGGTATTAAATTGGTATCATCTGCTTTCAAGATAGATTCTTGATTTAGATTTTTTCTGTCAAATCAGTCAGTAGCTCGTGTCCATATTTGTGAGGTTATGAGGCCGATGTCTCACATCAGTTCCGCTATGCCTTTCTTGTGAGCCCTCCCGTGTCTGACGTTGACCGTGGTCGGGGTGATCCGGTGGGTGCGTCTGAACGTCTCTGAACCTGTTTGGGGGCCTCTGCCGCCTCCGCCAGGCAGGCAGAGTGGGCCGGCCGGCCAGCCAGCCACGCAGCCGCCACCGCCACCGCCACCCCCCGGCATCGTGTTGCAGCCGGTGGCCGCGGCGCGCCGCCTCCTCCCGCCCTTCAGTCGGGGGTTGACTCCCGCACGGTCCGCACGGCTGAGCAGCGAGCTCGCTCCGGTCCGCGCCCCGCGCACACCGCCGCTCCGGTCGCGATCGCAAGGACGACGACGAAGCGCCGCCGCCGTCGTCTGCTGCCGCCGTCACGGTGCGTCGACGAAAATAATAACAACGACAACAACAACAACCAGTGGACCGCCAGGAGGGCGCCGTCGAGTGCAGTGCAGTGCTAGTGTGTCGGTGTGCTCGTCGCGGTGGTGCTGTTGGAGGCCGCGGCCGGGCCCCGGGGCCGCGCACGTACGGCGCTCGTCGTTGGCGATGCCTGCGGCGGCACGGCGTGGCGGCTCCTCCCTGCTTGATTAGAGGCCCGCGGCCGGTGCTCCCCGGGGTACACTTGGCGGAGAAGGGGTGCTCCTCCCTCTACTCCCGGCGCCGGGCAGGGCCGGGTGCACTGGCCCCGACGACGACGGAGCCCGAGGCCGGCGATGGCGCCCGAGCGGGCGGCGTGCTCCCGGCGACCACCTAGGATTACCTCTCTGGGTAAGTACTTGCAAACTGTAGTAATGGCGAGACGAGGGGGGCTCTAGCCGTGCGCGCTGCTGCTGCTGTGGTGGTATGGTGCAGGTGTGCAGAGAGGCGACCCGGTGTGCCACCCAAACTGCGCGCTCTGGCTTTTTATTTGAGCAAATAAAACCTCGATATAAAACCGTTCTGTTGATGTCACCACCATCACGAACTTTCCACGGGAAACATAACGCCACACCTCTCTGAGCGGGTGGCCTTCTTCATTCATTCAAAAAATAAAAATAAAAATGTTTTGCAATGTTGATTGGAATTCTCTAAGATATCGCTTAGATATCAGAGAATTCATGCAATTCTTCAATGAAATTTTACTGGGAATTATTTTCTGTTGTTTCCCCTTCTATTACACTCTACACTTAAAGTACAAATTAATTTAACACTTAAAATCAGTTTTACACCAATGGCAATGTATCTGAACTTGTGTTAGTTGGTAACACTGGCTATGCAGAAGTTGGTATTTTGGAGAGAGTGTGTGTTGGGCATTCCCTTTCAACTACCCGCATCTTAGGCACTTAGGCGTCGCTCAGTAACGTCTCTTTATTTGCGAAACGTTCTAACTACTACTACTACGTACCGGCTGTACCAGAGCCTCTTCGACCGCAGACGCCATTTAACGCCACATAGTGTGGGTAAGCAAACCTGTAACTATCCCAGCTAGAAATGAAATTCGAATTGACGTCGTCTCGACGACCATGTTTACATCGACGTGTCGAATCGACTTTCATTTCTGGCTAGGTGTAGGGCGACTTTTAAAATACCGTGTTTGTGTAACCAATAAGGTGTTAATCTGCGCGATTAATTAGTTTGATGTCGGTTACGGGGCCAGGCCACTGATAAACGGCGGGGGGCGGGGGGCGCGCTGCACCGCGCTGCGCCCCGTGACCAACCTGTTACAGTGCGGCTGGTCGTGGCCGCCCTTCGCCGAGCGTGGCGGCCGAGCGTGGCGGCCGATCGTGAACCGTGAGCCGAGCGTGAGCCGAGCGTGAGCCGAGCGTGAGCGGCGATGATGAGAGTCCGCGTGTTGTTTTTGCGAGGGTTTCAGAGACCCGGGATTACTATTTGCCCTGGCACGGCTGCGGGGCGGCGCGGCGGCGCGCGAGCGTGCGAATGCCGCGCGCCCCAGAGAGGGGGCTGTAGTGGCGGTGTGGGAGGGTTGGGGGGAGGGATAAATAACCCGGCTGTGTATCCATTTGTTTTGATGCGGGATGCGTGGCGGGGTGCCTTCCTACTAGTTTGCGTTCACTGAAACAACTAACCCATAGCTCACTCCCTATCCCTCTCTCTCTCTCTTTCTGACACTCTCTGACTACCACCCTCTCTCACCCCTCCCCCTCCCCTTGCTTACTCCTCGCTCTTTTACTCACTGCCAGTCGCAAAATAATTAATCCAACGCACTCCATAGCTGCCTGGGGTGGGGGAGTGGTGGGGGGTCAGTAAGGGGAAAAGGGTTATACAGCGCTTACCTGTCCGGCTTTAAAATTAACCCCCGCCGTTCATCACACAGCGCGCGGGGGCCGGGCGGCGTGCGCGCGGACTCGCGGGATTCGATAAACTGGGCGCCAAAAAACAAAATACAACCAACGCGCGCCCCCCGCCCGCACCGCGCGCGCGCACCCGCACCCGCAGCAGTAGCTCAAACACACATACACAAAATACACTCTGCGGGACAAATAAAATAAGGTAAAATAACTCGCTTGCTGCAAGAATAAAATGATGTAGCTTTGCGTTTCTCTGGGGTGGTGTGTGTGTGTGGGTGCGGGTGTGATTTTTAACCCGACCGCACCTCCACGACCCTCCCGCCGCCGCCCCCGCGTGGACCCCCGACACGACCCGGAGGTGGTGCTGTTTGTCGTGTACTCCATTGATGGCGCGGCCCCCCCCCCCCGCGGCCCCGACGCGGATTTACGACTGTGATCGGGCTGGCGGATACGCAGACACCGGGCCCCGCCGGCCGGCCCCCCTTGGGACGCGCAAATGTTTCCGCAAACATTTCCCCATCATCCCTCTCTCGCACCCCTTCCTCTCATCCTCGTCCGCCCCCACCACCACCACCACACTCGATCCAGCGGCAGACAGCAGCAGGTCGGCACGACGGATGCGCCAACCAGACCCCACGGCTCTGCTCAATGCTCATAATACGTCTGGGGATCAGTTGGCGACCCCCACCCCCCACCGCCCCACACACTTCCGCTACCCCTTCCACACCGCGCTCTTTGCTAAAAATGAAGGGGCTGAAAAGATAAAAGGGTAGGCGGATATGGGGGGTGGGGGAGGCGGCGGTGGGCACACTGCGCCATCGTCAATCCACATGCTCTCGTACGGCTGTATAAATCTGCCACTTTCCTTAAATGTATGGGGGAGCTGGGCCGCAAGCGCGGGAATGAAACAAGCAGGCCCGCCCTTCCGCCAAACGCAGTTGCCGGCTCCACTTCGCTGCGCCGGCAACTCCGTTCGGCAGGGGCCGGGCCTGCTTGGCCTGCCGGCGGCGATGGTCGGGCCTTCGGCCCGACCATTTCAGTCCCGCGAAATGCTGAAGATCATAACCAAATAAATAATGTGACCGGTAAATCACTTTGCATATTTGGGTAAACTAACTTCCGGTGGGGGGCCTGCGGCCCTAGAGATTTGCTCCTTTCACATGACAAAAGACTGTAACGGGGCAACACCGTGACTACACCCCACCCTTCTGCTTTGCTTCAGAAAAATACAAAAAAAAAGAACCAGCGCAGTTTTTACATTGTATTGTTTGTCAAACAGTCTTAAAACTTGACTTTTTGCCATTGTTTTCAATATATCCACCTCTAGGGCCGAAACAGTGAAAGAAACGGCAAATCCGAGGGTAGTTCCTGATTCAGAATGTGTTGTTTTGGGGGGGTACTTCCTCTTCCATTTTACGATTGGAAGCCTCCTAGTACGTCTTTATGTGCAACGTAGTCATTTTCTCCGTATTTCGGTTGAAAAAAGCACTCTAGCGCCCAAACGGTGCAAGATAGAGTGGAACGGACAAAATTTTCGCCCAAAGGGCTCTACTTTTACGAGTTACCCCTTAGGAGACCATAAAAAAAATATTTTTTTCCTACTTTTTAGACCAACCCCTATTTCTTTGTTACCCCCTTTCATCCCCTTAGGGGTGGTTGCCAGGATTTGCACCAGGCGTTTCGTTGTCCAGGAGTGACCCCTAAGATACCCTGAAATTTTCAGACCTCTAGCTCATCTCCTTCCTCTTACACGGACGACGGACGGACGGACGGACGGACGGACACGAGAGCGGTTGCATAAGCCCGCTTTAATGCTTTTTTAAAAGCAGAAGGGCGGGCTAAAAAGGAAGGAAAGTAAACTGTTTCTCTCCGCAGGCGACATGAGGAGAAGATGAAAAGTTTTATCGACGCCAAATATCCTGAGGAAAACAGAAAAGTAAAGAAAGTGCGTTACGCTGATTATTGCTTTGAAAGACATGTAAACATGTCTGTGTTTTATTTTTTGTCGTTGAATTTTAACCACCATCAGGTGTGATGTAGGAACATGCGTGCTGGCGTCCCCCGGCCGCTCTCCCTGGTCCTCGCACCTACCGCAACAGGCCCGCGGGTGTGGGCCGCACGTCCAAGGGGTTGTTAGCTTGGCTTTTACTGCCTGGCGGTGGTTTGGGGGTGGTTTGGGGGGCACTACTCCTACTCACGGAGCTGGCGGCCGAGCCCCTCTCGTGCAGAGCAGGCCGGCCCGGCCAGACGGGCCCCGGGCCCCGCACACTACTGGGACAACTACTAAGTTGTGTGGGATCAGGTGGCTGCGTGTGTGTGTGTGTGTGTGTGTGTGTGTGTGCGCGTGTGCGTGTGCGTGTGCGTGTGCGTGTGTTGGGCGCGCGATGGGGGGGCTGATTCCCCCTCCACCCTCCTCCACCGCTCCCTTAGATTAATGTCAACAAACCCCAGACCTGATTGCCCCCTCCCCCTCTCCTCTTCCCTCCTCACCACCTCAAGACTCTCTCCCACGGCAGCATGGCCCCCTCTGATACCCCCGGCACGGCACCTCCTCGCCTTTGCAGTGTTGACGTAAATTTATCGGCAATAATGTTAGGGCAGCGCCAGGATGACACTAGCGTAGTGCAGCACACTGTGTGCTCTGCCGCTGCTCCGCCCCGCCCTGCCACGCCCCGCGGAGGGCGAGTTAGGCGAGGCGGGGGCACGGTGTGGGGCGGCCCCGGGAAATATATCACTGGTGCGGCGGATAGCCCCCTTGTGCCCTCCCCTCCCCTTCCCCCCCACCAGTGTGCCAACCGCACGCCCTGCTCAACACTTTTGCAAAGCGCGCGCGCGCCTCTCCCTTCCTCCCCTTTCTTTTCCCCCTCCCGCACCGCTCCTTCCTCCTGTCTTCTCCTCCAGCCCTCTCCCCCACTTTCCCCGTCCTCGCCGCCTGTCGGCCTCAGTCCTTCCTGTGACGGCTCCGAGCCGGCTATTGCAAACTCGCGTCCGACCTCCTTCCTCCCTAGCTCTCCCTCATCCCCTGGCCTCCTCTGCCCTCTGCCCTCCTCCCCATCTCTCCCGCTACCCCTCTCCCTCCGCGGGCCCGGGCGCCCGCAGGTGGGCAGGCCCGCCGGCGCTGCGGGTCGCAGTGGTTGCCTACCGCCGAGGCGCTCGCCGCCCGGCGCTGCTCCCGAGCCCTGCTCGTGTATCTCCGGAGGCCGCCTCGCATGCAAATGGGGGGCGGGCGCCGCCAACGCCAAGCACTGCGCCGAGTCCAAGTCACGGGCTCTCCTGCTGCCGCTAGTACTCTGTCCTAGGATCGGGAATTTCCGGAAAATTCCCGAATAATTCTGGAAAATTTTGGAAAATTCCTAAAAGTTCCGAAAAAGTTCGAAAAATTCCAAAAAAATTCTGAAATAGATCCGCAAAACTTTCAAAATTTGTCCGTAAAATTTCCAGCAAATTTCTCTTTTTTGGAAATTTACCAGGGCTTCCAAC